TTATAATTCAGAGAGCCTTCCCTGAAATTGTTCAGAGTCCTTATGCGGTTTTGCCCCCCCCTTCATTACCTGCAAGAGTTGAKTCTATGACACATAAGAGCAATGAACTGATGAACTGGCAGATAACAACTAAATAGGTAAAAGGTCAGCTGGGTTAGATAACATTTATGATCACTCCTCTAATGAGATGAGCTTTTTCTGTTGCTTATTCTTATGTCCTCCCTTTATCTCGTCATCTGTAAATTCTTTGGGTCACAGTAATAATATTTTCAAAGACAAATGTCTATTAATATAAACCTATAGCTATTTAGAGCCATTGTGTATTTCAATTYTCTGAAATGGGCAATTTTACTGAGTGCTAATTGAGAGGAAAATTKTGTTACACACTCTGAATGGTTCCTTATGCAGAAGCTGGACTTGATGTCACAGTTCGACTCCTAAAAAAAAAAGAACTTTTTTCCTCTAGTAAACAATGAAGTTGGATTCTGACATTTTCTACCAAATTCCCTTTTACTACTATTGAAAATGAGAATGTGGATTTGGAAAAAAGGTATGAAGCCTCTGCAGACAGAAACTGTCAAAAATCACTGAGTAATAATGGGGAACTAAATTAATGGCAGTTGCCCAAATGTCAACTTGTGTGAGCTTCTCAGCCAAAGGTGTAACTGTGCCTCTGGTTTTTCAACTGTATGTATTACTGCAACTGTCACTTGCCTTCAAAAATGTTTTAGAAATAAGGTTTCAAAYCTTTTCCCAGCATACAGTAGCTTGTGGGCAAAATTGAATGATTTATTACAAGCATTTTACCAGAAAACTCATGCTGAGACACTTCTTCAGCAGTGTCTTATGATATGGTTTCCAAGAGTGCTCATTATCAGGTGAAGTCATTAAAAACCTGCCATKGCCTTCTGATGAATCAAGTTATAGAAGCAGTTTTTTAAACCAAATTTTTCAAAGCATAAATCCAATCTGAGTCAAATACTTAAACATCAAGGTTCGAATGGAGTTTTATAAATGTCTGCAAAAGTGTTAAGAAAACAAAGCAATCGTGCCAAGTATTCTTGCAATGAGTAAATGCCCCGCTGCGTTACACATGGCCCTGGCTYCCCAAAGTGAGAGAAGCTGCCAGCGGCACTGCCTGTGGTCTGAAGGAAGAACTACACATATTTTAAGCRCTCAAAGAGACTGGCTCTTAGTCTTAGGTTTCAATCTATCTACAAGAAAATATTTACGTAGTCACTGATGTTCAGTTTAAATGCACACATCAGAGAAGATGCACTATTCTTTTTTCAGACTGTTTATGTTCAGTGCCCAGATGGTTCATGTGCAGGTTTGAGCACCTGTAGCTGTGGAAAAGGTGAAAAAAACAGATCAGTCTGTTGTTTAGGAAGGGACCTGAGAGTGCAGCACATGAGGGTCATGGGGCATTGCTCAATACACTAGCAGAAATTCAGAGGCAGTACATTGAATTACAGCCTATTTATGYATTTGAGGGTGTCCATGTCATTAGATAATAATTCCAACAGTGAACTTTGAGATCTGATCCCTACAGCAAGGAAAAATCAACAGTTCCTGCATTGGTTTGGCCAGTTCCAACGAAATCTTCTTAACGTAGCATTTTCTCAGYAGACTGCTTTGTCTGAGAAGAAAAAAACAAATTTCCCTAGCACATGGCAGTTTGTGTAAAAACTAAGATAGCTATTTTGAATGGAATTAAATGGGGAAAACAAGCCATTGTGAATGATATAATTGGCTGTTATAGGTTGTAAAGTCAGASGGGTACAATACAGGTTAAGGACCTTCTCCCCAATGCCCTCTGCACTTTCCCAGCTGTTGAGTCTCTGGGAGATGCAGGAGCAGAGAGCAGCAGGACTGACTGGAGTTCAGCACATACCTGAGCTGGCTGTGTARTCCAGGCTTTGATGACTGCCACGACAGACCATAGATGTGAAGTCACCTGGGGCTCATGCATTCGGCAGCCTCTGTTGATGGCTTCCTTCTCATTCCCAGTGCTGGTGTTTAGCTGAACTTTGAATTATTAAGTGCTGGTGGGCTTGACTCTCTGCACTGTTGCACCACTATTAAATCAGGAATTATAACTAGTTACACTACAACAAAGCCAGAATAGTGAGGCTGGGCCATTAGGCACTTTCTGTAGTATCTCTGATCACAACAGACATTTATTAGCCTTTGTTTAAGTCTACCCATCGGAAAAGCGAGAGAGCGGTGCCTGTGATGGTTTGTTCATTTTCGTGTTCATTTGGCACCGTGTTTTGCTGCTGCAGTTTGCATTCCTCTCTGCATTGGCTTGGACTACCCACTGTAGTGGCTTGTCTGACACTTCAATTCTTATACTCCTAAATTCCCCGTACATAAAAGGAGAGAATAAGAAAGAGAAGAAAATACGCTCAATATCCAASTTTCCTGTGAGCCACTTTTAAATCATTCTGTTCTGTAACTGCTGTTTCAACCCCCTCAGAGTAGGTTCTGGGGAGTGAATTGGACAGCAATGCTCTGGCAGCTCTAATGCCACCAACTATTTCAAAATTACATCTTGATGAAACATATTGGCAACTGCATGCATATGACCTCTGTTTTTTGTTCAGCCAGAAAAAAAAAAAAGGCTGGTGGCAGCCTGAGCCATTGTTCTTTGTATTTAAAACAAGTCTTTCAGCTGAGAGCCAAAAATTGYTTTTCAGTACTGCTTTGAAAAATCATCAAAGTCCAGCAGCTTACAAAAATTTTCCATTTCCTCACTATTCACAAAGTAGAAAAGAAAGTTTCTGCATTTTTGGGCAATCTACAGCTCCTGAAGATTGTGTCTTATCCTGTCAAATGGGCCTAATGATTAATATTTTTTTCTATTTTTATTGTTCTTTCAGGCATTTATAGCCTACTTATAGCCTTGGACCCTTCCTTTTTTGACARTATACATCCATGTCCGAACCACCATTCAAAAATATGTCATTCCTCAGTCTTTATTATTTCTGCTGTCTGTCATTCCTTAAAAGGTTTGTTTTGCATGATAACATCAGGAACACATATCTTCCTTCAGAAAACTCTCACCAGTTCAGTTAGGTTTTAATGCAATTAAAGAATGCAATTAAAGAATTTAATTTTAATGCAATTAAAGAATTCATATCAGTGGCGTGGCTCCAGTTGTACTGTGGTAGCAATGGGTTCATGTAAATCGGGGAGTGTCAGATGAGCAACTTTTGCTGTTTGGCTGAGAAAGAGAAGGACAACCTTTCTGGCAAGTAGKTGTTAAAAAACCAGCACCTTGATCCATCATGTCACAGCACATTTGTGGCATAATGCTCTCTGAGCAAGCAATAACAGTAACAAGTAGGCTGTTCAGATACAGGTACTTTGCAATTTTCAGTGCTTCTTACAGGCAGTTTATTACATGGCACTGCACAAAAGCCAGGCTGAAACTAGCTCTGGTATTTCATTARCCAAAATAAGTACCTTGCCCAGATCTTAAAAAGCTTTAGGAAAAAAAAAAAATCTTACTCATTTTTTGAGGATTTCCTTCACTCACATTCTGCATCATCTCACSCGGAGAGGTGTCCTCAAGCCTGAACCGGAGGCAGACACATTTGTTTCTTTGAAGATCTGGAGCACACTGTCATCTTGTATGTTTGAATCTGACAGGGGCAGAAGACTCTGGGTAACTCGCTAATTTTATACTTTTGCCCTCCTAAAAGACAGTGTTTTGCTGTCTTTTTGCTTCTGCAGATCTCCTCCAGCTTAAAATTTAGCTTAATTTGCAGAGGYTCCTGAATTTATTTATTAGTTCTTTTAAAACTGCATCTTCCCCCAAGCTGACGATACATATATATTTAGTTTGTTCAGATGTCCTTCCGTCATCTTTTTATTCAGCCCTTGTTCTTCCAGCTGASTCTAGTAATTTTCCCAAATTTTCCTGTAAAGGTTCTTTGATGTCCTCATCTTCACTACTCATTTTACTGCAAGCTGAGCCAAACTGGTATTTAAAATCTTGGTATTTGGTGTAAGTATGATGTAGTGTATTTTGTCTTAGTGGAAATATAGCATCGAAAAACAATTTACATTTTATCCATGGTCCTGAATATTAATGAGAYTTCTTTTACTCACAAACTGGAGCAGTTTGACAGCCTGGTATTATTTTTATCCAGATTTTCCCAGGAAGTTGGCAACAGTATATGCTGGAAAGCAGTTCTTCAGTATCTCATTCACGGAAATTGGTGGTTCATCAACAGTGTCTGTAATTTCTGTTTCGCTTGCACAGCAATAGAATTCAGTATGAATTGCAAATAAAAGGAATCTCAACATTATGCAGATTTTCGGCACATGGAGTTGAATTAATTCTGCTCAGTTATATAATGTCCTATGTTGTAGGAAAATGTAAAGAATTTAGACCCTTACCTAAGACTGATCAGAAGGTGTCTGAAGTTAGTTTTTCTCACTGTTCCAGTACAGTTAAACAACAAGCCAACATGGTAGGAAAACTTCAATCCAAAATTGGATTGAAAAATGGTAAAGTCTTAATGTAAGGCACCTGAGATGAGGCTCTCCCCTTGTGAAGTCCATAGGTCCGGTAAAAAAGGCAATATGGGTGGGTTCAAAACATGTGCTTTGCTTATTCATGTTCTTCTCAMAGAGCAGCTTTTTCAGAGACTCAGGGGCTAGTTTCCCCCAGCCAAAAATCACCAGAGCATAGATAAGCTTTTTATGCYAGGAGCTGAGACATGACTAAAGGCCTTTATTATATTTCTGTACAAACTAGAGAATTTGTCTTGGTTGATTYTAATTTCAAGGGAATAATTCCACTTATTAGCCATCTGTACACTACAGAATAGTAAGTATCTTACTTAATTTACAGTGCTGCAACAGGATCTCTGCTGCACACAATTTAACGGTGCAAAAAACATCTGTATATTTTAGAATGTGTTTAGAGTTTATTTTGTAATATAGTCAAGTTACAATACACTCAAATCTGTAGGATAATGATGATTTTCTTGAAAACTTGGTGTTACAAATATATTCTGCTGGCAATGTGCCTAAATACATTAAGCAGCTAGTTGCAGATTTTAGTTCTAAGAAACTCATGGGTGATTACTTGGTTTGCTTTTCTTAATTGTGTGACTGGCTTAAGTATGCCTGCTTTGCTGCATCCTGGCATATTTTTTTAGAGTATTTTCAGAATATCTTTGCAGCTCTTCAAGGTGTGAATTCAAACGTTCTTCAAACTCTCTTGCATGTTCCTCTTCCTCCTGGAGGAACTTTTCGGTTGTTGTAAGGAAGGACATCTCAGGGGGAGACTGAACAATGAATAGAAAACCATGGTTAGGAAAAACCAGCAAGTGCTCCAACATGTTTGCAATATCAAATTCCAAATGCAGAAAACATCTTGACCTATAGCAGCTAATAACACTATAATGCTTTACACTGCTCCAAGAAAGCTTCCTTTTTAAAGGCATACATTGCTAAAGCCATCCATATGCCTAAATGACATAAAATCAACGTGATGTTTGATTACCTCAGATATTCATAGCATTGGGATTGACCATAAAAAAATTAAATATTCCACTAGACAGAATTAAGTTGGCGCAGAACTTCCAAAACTTTTGTATTGACTATGGGTTATGTTAGTTTTTTGTGTAACATAGACCAGGGCAGAGGACAATGTCCTTTATTTAGAATTACTATAAGACTATAATCAGTGTTGGATACTGCTGATTGTCTGCTGGAATTTTGGCTCTCTGCTTCTGTGATATGATGCTTTCTGAGGAAAGGAAGAAAACCTACGCTCATTTCAGTGCTGTTAACTCCAAGCCCTGACATTCTGGAGAATGTACTAAATTTTATTTGCTGCAAGTAATTCACTGAAAAATCTTCTTTCCATTTAATGAGCATTTAGTAGACTCAGACATAAACCATCCCAAAAATCAGCCTTTAGATGGTTGTCATGGATTGCAGGGTTTTATGAAGCAAAGGACATGTGTGAATCTTTGCTGGCACTAGTTTTAAATTTTTAAACAGAAATTTTTGTTRATTTTCTTGCTAATACCTAAGATGCATTCATTGAAATGTTGAAATGTCTTTAGCAATAGCAATATGAAATAATTTTTCTTTTCRTAAAGATACTATGCTTGTTTAAGTATATTCAGTGCTTTTTTGTATAGATAAATACAATTTTATTACATGAATTTTTAACATTTGACTGAGGAAAAAACTTAGTATAGGAGCTTTAATACAAGAAAGGTAACTTTCTATCTTTATACCATCATATATTAGAGAAAATGATTGACATCTCTAATCTTAGTTAAACCTTAAATAGTTTTAGTTACTGATTATTAGTCTAGAATCTCAGGTTTTATTTCTTTCTAGAATTTAAAAWTGTTTGAAGTTCATATGTCAGCACACCTAATAGAAAATCAATTATTCAAATGGTCTGTGGGAAAGGCCAATTCTATTGCACCTGTAAACCTTTACTTCAGACTCCACTGTATAAGAATGGGGYATTTCCTATTTCCACAGCAACTAGAGACAGATTTGGTCTTTGTTTTCAGCTTAATTGAAAAATGCTCCTTAGCACCTTTTAAGGCTAAAAATACTAATTAGAGAAATGCTTTAAAGCACCAATCTATTCAAACTCTTTGCAGCAGAYTTTGAGATGAAATTTATAGGTTTCCTATAWGGAAACACCTTTTCTTTTCAAAGTAAAGCAAGTAARTGATTSCTGGAAATAAATTCTGAGTTTAATACCATCCAACTTGAGTGAGGCAGGCTTCCTGATATATAGGGCTCCTAAAATGTAATTCACAGAAAAAGCGGAATCTTCATTTTCTCAGTCCCTCCATATTAGTATTTTAAAATGATGGGCAAGAAAAAGAGACTTAATTTGACATATACAAGTAAGAAACCTAAAGGTATTGGATCTCTCTGTGCCACAAGACCCCTCTCTCAATCCTTGTACTAGTAGGAATAAGGAAGAATGCCAATCTTCTAAAGTTTAGGAAAATGGAGGGACATGGCCTGTCTTCTGATTTTCTTCATAGACATGTGCATGAATTCTCATTCATAAATAATCATTTTTCTCATGTGAAGAGTTTTTTCCTCCCATTCTGAATGCCATAGCTACATGCAGATTTATTCCTTCATGGGCTAGGTCACAAAGACATCTCTTTGTGATGTTAGGATTCAGTGATAAAATTGTCATTACTATTTAAAATTCGTTGAAGAAGGCTTTTGTATTATGATGAACACCTCGGGTTTGCAGGCTTTACTTAAAGAATCCCCATGTGTTTCACTTACTGAATACCAGCTATGAAATCACTCATTSAATACTGAGAAAATAAAATACTCACAGTGAGAAGCACAAGAAACTWGGAAAATCTAAATCTGAAATACTAATTTAATATGTGTCATCACCTAGAAAAAAATGTCACATCAGACCTTTCCTTATAGACTGAAGATTWACACAGATGGCAATCTTCTGAAATGTTACATCAAGATATAAGAATCTTAGAGATTCATGGAAACAATCCTTACAATTACTGACTTGTCTTTGGAAACACTGACCTCATAATCAAGTTGTCTTCCTAAACTGTTCAATGTCCTTTGCTTCAAATGGTATTTTTATGTGTTTCTTCTTGAAATGCACTGTAAACTCCAAATGCAACATTTCTGAATTCCCTCAGAGTTGAKAGAAAAATGTTTATCATTTAAAGTAAGCAGGTCATGGCTCCCCACAGCTCCTTACCTGAGGGTCAGACATCACAGACTATGATTTTAGATAGGTCCCTAATGCATTGTTTTTCRTGCACTTTGAGGGAAGGTTTTTACTAAGCAAGGCTAAAAAGCAACATTCCTTGTTAGCAGCAGTTTGCTTTCCAAGCCTCTGGCCTTTTTTTTCATTATGTTCTTTATTGTCTTTACTTTTGGCCTCTGAGGAAGAAAAACYACAAAGTGTTTCAATCCATGTGTCAGATGAGATTCATGGTCCCTGGTTTATGAATTTATTTTTCTCAGATGTCACTGCTTTGCTGCCTTTTAGTTTCCTAACGAGAACTGGATGGGGATGAGTTCATTGCAAGCTTTCCTCTAACTTGTTTGGGTAATAAGGCAACAAGGACTCTGTTTTGTCTTTTCTACAGTGCCAGCTGATCTCATATTTCTTTGGTGTATACCAGTAATGAGAGTCTCCTTTTTGCCYCATTGTTTACTGAAAATGAAGGTGTGCACCTGATAGAGATGCATATTTCTATATGGGAAATCCGTGCTAAATATGTCTTCTCCTTAAATAAGAACTACCCAAAAGTGGTTAAGAATTAATTCTGGATTACTGGGGAGGAGCTCCCTCAGGAAGCTAGGTCTGTTCTCTCTCACAGACTGCCAAATTAATTTGCCTAGAGTCAATCTCTTACTTGCCCSATGAGTTGTCCCAGCATTCTTGGATGCACCTTCAGCAAGGCAGCAAGAAAGCTTTAATGCTTGGAATATTTTAACATCTAGTGGTCAAATCATGAGTGGTCAAACCCCAGTGTCGCTRTCTTCTCACATTTAGCTGCCTCTATTTTCCAGAAAAGATTTTGCAAAACCAAGAGTAGAAATCTGTCTGGCTTATTTTAGTGTCACAGTGCCTAAATTTGGGGAGTTTTGCAAGTAGTTTCCTCTAACCCTACACTGCAATACATCTTAGGCAGCAGGTACAGAGGCCTGTCTTAAACATGCTTCTACTCATATACGAAAATTAAATTCGAGATGCCTAAAAAATTGCTGAGTGACATAGGAAGACTTTTAGAGGGCTTACCTAGCTAGTAATACCTAGGAGTGAGAGGCATGGACTACAGCGTGCTGCAGGGTAGGATCAAGACTKTCAAAATAATTCCTAATAATGTTCAGTGGTAGAATTTCCACAACTTTACATTGAAATCTATTTATTAAGTCCCCATACTAWTGCTGGAAAATTTCCTCATGCCTAATTAAAATTTTCATTACTACAACTTAAGTCTTTCTTGTATTTCCAAGCCTTGAAAGYAAGAACAAACTACAACTGTCCATCAGCTGAAGAGAAACATGACAAAGTATTTATGACTAAAAGATCAGTCAATCATTTTCTGAAGTTGTTCATTTCAGGAAGAGAGCACAGCCTGAAGTACTGTTCAGAGAAAAAGTATTTCCCTAGATTTGGAAACCTTGAAACAAATATTTTTGGRGCTATGAGAATTTCCAGTGACTCCCAGCTGAGCTTTCTAGCTTATTCCAAGGCAAAAATGGACTCTCTCAATACATGTAACCTCTAAGTAASAATGTGAAAGGACAGAGGTTCCAGTGGAACATTTACTAATCTTTGTCTGAAGATTCTCTACCAGAAGGAGGGATGTCATTGTCTAAAGCCCAACAGACTATTTTCTCTCTTCCTCAACACCWAGGGGGTAATTTTGGTTGGTATCAGGACATCACCTGGAAACCTGATGTTTTCAATCTGTGCTACAAATATATTTTAGAAATCTGGTGCCTTATAACATTTTCTGAAGTTTTGAACATACTGGCAATTTCACTTGGGTCCTGTCSCTGAGTTCTATACCACTCAATTCCTCAGAATTCTGTCAAAGAACTCTGGTTTAACATATTGTGTATYTTCCCCCTTCTTTCTCCTCAACACAACAACTTTCCATTTGAACACAGAACTCTGGAGTAACAGATTGTTGAATGATTTCTGTACTAAAGCTGTGGTATCTAAAGTCAGCCTGAGCGAYGATTTAATTTCAGTTGTTTGAACTTGTACCTGCTTCAATGTACTCTGTACAAGAAATATTCTTGATTAATAGTTTTGTTATTTTGCCCACACATCGAGTGGAAAGTCTTGGCACTGACCGTGTCCTGAGTGCCAGCTGGGGAATAGTTTCCTTGCAGCTTGCAGAAGTGTCTCAGAATGGACATTTTTTCTAGGCTGTCTGGAAACAAAAGCTTTGTCATTTGGTGTCTCTGTCTGACACTTCTGACAGAGGAGAGAAGAATTGGTGTTTTTCAGATTAATCTGAAAAAGTCCAAATGACTATTTTCATCATTAGCATTTTAAAGAGGAAAACTTGTGAGTTGTAAGAAGCCAAAAGCCATTTACTTAAAACTTCTCTGTAATGTAAAAATATAAAAATGGAAGTGAGGCCAAATATCCAGAACTATGTGTTTCTCACTGTTCTCAGGCTACTGGGACACAGCTGATGGGATCACAGTGAAGGGCTGCATTGCAATCCCTGCTTCCCAGGCAGGCCATCATTATGGTTCTTCCTATCAGCAGTGAGATTCTGGACTATGGAGATTATCCTCCAGCTGCCAGGTCTCTGATAGGAAAGGATGTGCATTCATTTCTGAATTGGACAGCAGAACTGGGGTACAACAACCACAGGTACAATTGCCTGTCAATCCCCCCTATTAAATGCTGAAGACTTCCCTCTTCTCCTGCTCTAAGTTCAGCTGAGGATCTCCTGGTTACAAAGATCCATGTATCACAGCTGGACAGAGGGATTAGTTCATTCCTTAGCCACATTCTAAGTTCCACTGCTTACTGATAGTATGGCTTCATGGTCTGAGGTCAGGAAAGTGCTGATTTTCAAGTGCCACACAATAGTGGCCTGTAGTGGTGGCTTAAGGAAGAATAGAAGATACTAAGGAAGAGGATAAAGCTCAAATTAAGATGGAGCTCAAAATAATTATGGAAAGTTTTTCTTAAGAGGTCCTAGCAAAGTAGAATTTGTCCCGCTTGCCATGGAGAGTGGTAGTCTCCAGGTAGTCTCCAGCCTATGAACACTAAAAGAAAGAATGTGGACCTATTACTCTTTCATTTTGAGAAAAATAAGGATTATAGAGGTTATAATTTCTGTTTCTTTTAAAATACAATAGATAACATATGGAAAACAGTTGCTGTGWTTTCTCTGATTTCATCCATCAATCAAAGAGATGTAGATCAGTAAGGAACTTCATTTGTTTAACAGCACTTAAGGCACTGAGWTTGCAGGTATTATGGAAATACACTTGAAGTAGAGTGCTCTTACAGAGGCAATACAAAGCAAAGTGCCCCAATATAAAAGCCAATAAGATAAAATGTAGAAATCTTTCTCACGGTCACATAATGACAGGTAATTATCTCCATCATTATTACAACAGAGATATGACTCAGATATTTAATCGCCAGGAAAACTGCATTTCTATTAGGATAAGGTATTTCCATTTTTGCTGGGCTGGCATTATAAATAATGACAACAAGAGTGATCTAATTTTTGGCTCCTCCAAGGCTGCATTTGGTCCACAGATGGATTTTTGATAATGTCTGTCTTATAGGAAAATAGTTACTTACTGATAATTTGATTTCTTCCGCACTATAAGCAGGGCTCTGAAAGCTGCCTGTTGTGCCCATTTCAGGAAATGGCTCMAGAAAGCCCAAAGGATACCCCACTGCTGGTAATGGAGATTTATGAACTATTGTCTTTTCATGACCTCTGTGAAGTGGATGAGAAGAGAAAGAGCTATCACTTTTTGAACCAGTGATATTGCCTTGGCCATATAAATCAGGACTGCAGTTCCTGTGGTATCCACCAGCAGTGAGCATAGCAGGCTGTTGACACTCCACTTCCCATGCATCTTTATTTTCGAATGATCTAAAAGAAAAAAAATCSAAGTATGAAACCCAGCTAAAACTSTAAAGCTATCACCKTAAAGYCAAGGGGTTTTTATTTTATTTGTTTATGCAGTTTTSATYACTTAGTTGTTCAAACTGTTTTGCATGAAGGKATGGRCATAACATTAGAAGCATTACTAAACTGTAGCAATTTAGTAGTTTCCACTTAAGTTACTATAAAATTCTGAACGTACATTCTCTGACTGCTTCAGCTGTGGTTTCAACCAACCTAATTTAAACCCTTTCACTGGAGTATAAATTGAGGAACCTTACCTKGGTTGGTGTAACTGGCAGGACAAGAGCTAAAACACAAACTCACTTYAGGTATTAAGTGTTGGTTACCCATCCTTTGCTAATGGCTATCATTACTTTGGCTTTTCAATGGAAAAAGCTATGCAAGCACTCTTCACTCTTTGGCTTACAGTGTGATAGGAACTAGGGTGAATTTAGCCACACAAATAGAGGAAATGAAATATGAAAGTGAGATGAGTGAAAAAAAGCTATTATTAGTCATTGAAGTCATTGAAAAAAATTATTATTAGTCAATTTTGATCTAATATTATCTTAAATAGCCATGTTCAAGTGGCTAGAATTTAGGATAAATGCTTAAACAAAAAATAGTACAGGAATCTTTGATTCTGCATCTTTGCTGCTAATTTTGCCACTGATTTAATGATAGCACTTTGGAGACTGATATAAAAATTAATAGATCTTTAAAATACACTTTCTAAAARKTTATACAAGAACATGCTTTTGTAACAATAAATGAAATCTTCAAGCTTAAACAGAATTTTTAGGCATTTTTTATGATGTTCCATAACTCTTGTGTCTCAGTGCTCAGAATTGATGTGCAAATATATATTTCTAATCATTCATAATTCAAGTGTGGCAGAAACTATTATGATTAACAGCAGCTTAAAAAAAAAGAAAGCCATTTTCTTCCCAAAGTATCTTTCWTCCTGACAGTTAACTGAACAATTCTGATACTGTATTGATAAACCAGAAAATTTTGAGACTAGCTTGCCCAGATGTCTGCCAAATTACATTAATTTTCAGGTGCATTATTCCTTGTATAATATACCAAAACATGCAAAAATATAATTGCATGTTTTATTAATTTTATGTTACAGTATTTCTAGCTGACATAAAAAATTACATTGTATTAAGGTTTGCACTTATGATGAAATTTTAATCTTGGGAGATTAAAACATGATAGCTGTTTGAAWAGATTCTATCATTGCAAATACCCTAAAAGACTCTACTAATTTGAAATGCAGCTATAAAAGCTTTTAAAGAGCAMGTTCACTGGCACTAAAATAAAATTTTACAAATATTCAAGAGTATGCAGTGCTACTCAGTAGTTTTGTTTTCTTTTTAAATARAAAGAACTTGCCAAGTGCAGGGAAAAGACAATGTTTTCTGGAGAAAGATCAYATCATCATGTTCTAATCTTAATTTAAATATTTGGTATTGGGAGATGATGGCTGTGCACCTTTGATGGACCTGCATTTACATAAGCCTTTGTCCTGGTTTTCACAGGGCTAGAGTTAATTTTATTCACAGTAGTAAAAAATATTTCTACGGGGCTGCGTTTTGGATTTGTGTTGGAAAGAGTGTTGATACACAGGGACATTTTAGTCACTGCTGRGCAGCACTTACCCAGGGTCAAGGACTTTCCTGCTCCTGACCCCACCCCATCAGCGAGGAGAGGTGGGATGCACAAGGAGCTGGGAGGGGACAGCTGATCCCAGCTGAGCATAAGGATATTCCACACCACACAGCATCGTGGTCAGCAATAAAAAGCCCAGGAAGGTTGCCTGGGCATCACATGACTGGTGGTGAGCAATTGCACTGTGCATCACTTGTTCTGTATATTCTAGTTATTATTATTATTATTGTTATTGTTGTTATTATTATTATAATAATTATATCATCTTCCTTCTCTGTCCTATTAAACTGTATCTCAATGCATTGATTTTACTCTTTTTTAATCCCAGTTYTTTCCCTGTGAGTGGGGGAGTGAGCAAATGACTGTGTGGTGTTTACCTGCCAGATTAAACCACAACAGCCCTAAAACATGAAACTGTGTATTCAGTAAATGGACTGTGCAGAACAGCTCAGAGAACTAATGAAGAACATATTTTTTCTCTGATTATAAAAGAARCTGTGATTAAGATACTCTGAATGCTATGGGAAAGCAAATTATAAGCATTATGCTATATTATTACTATTACTATAATTTTATTTTTACTATAATTATTACACATTCCAACATAAAACTCTCTGAGACTATTCACCAAACCTTCCAGTTTTCTAAATCTCCTAAAATGTTTACCTTTATGAAAGCAGAGTTTTCTCCTTTCTGTCATGCTTTTCTTTACATAAATCTGCTCTTTGGGGACAAGAGAATGCCTTTTTTTCTTTTTTTCCTCCCTRTTTTAAAGTCCATTCCATCTATGGTTTGGATGAAGAGCACAGTGAAACAAACCTGCCACAATTGAAGACAGATGGCATGAATAATAAAATCAGGGATTTTTTTTTAATCTTTTGTTCTGACCTTTTTGGAAGTAATTTTCCCTCTAAACCCACAGTAAAGTCTATGTGATCTGTGGTTTTTCTCCCCCCAGAACTGCTTCTCTACATATTTAATAACGATTATTATTGTTAGGGTATAGCTTACTTTGCTAAGAATAGAATTTTCAGACTTGAGTAGCTACCTGACTTGGGAGCTTTTAGACAAAAAACAGAGACTGCACCTCCCCTGCCAAAAATGAAAAAAAACCCAAACCCAACCTGATTTATTTTTAAAAGAACTCCCATTCRTACTGTAATCCATAGGATTGCTGGGGCTGCTTGTTATTTTGGAAAAACATTGAGGTGCTTTAATATGGATACTAGGCCTTTACTTTGGATGGTTTTCACAGTTGTAGTTTAAATTTCTACCAGTTCATGTGTAAAATCATATCTAAGAACATAAATCTACTTTAAACAYAATCTGCAAATTTGTAAAAAGCTGTCCATTTGTTAACACTACCAGTGCAAATACACTGTTATTTCGGTTGAACAACTTATGCTTTTGGTGGGATTACYGTCATAGAATACTTAACATGTACACATACTTTACAAAAATATTATTACGGTTGACATGGTGACATAGGGGACAAGTGGTGAAAGAACAATGTCCTCACAGAGGGAATTTATATAGACAGGTTATATTTTTCCAGACTCATATATAAAATCAGCCTGGTCCCTATGTGGATGATGACTTCAGTGATGCAAAATAAACTCCTTACACAGATTTACTGGTTCACATAACCAGTCTTGAGAAAGAAAACAACGGATCTTTAATGACCAGAATATCTTCAAGAATTTGTGCTGTTTATTTTGCCTGGCAAGTATAACGGCTAGCTTGATTTTAAAATGTATAGAAAAGCCTTTTTCCTGAAGAATTGCCTTCACTACTTCCACTGTATCTATTGCAATAACTGATACAGGATGAGTGTGACTAAGAGTCTGTGGTCTCCAAAGGGTAGTGAAAGCCTCTTTGACACAGACACTTCACTGGCAATACACATCCTTTGAGAGATCCCCAGTTACCTTAGCAGGCATTCATTCTCAGCATTTACCCTTCACTTTTGCTACATGATGAAAGCATGATTTGGCTTGACCAATTAACAATTTTCTGCATATTTTTGTGGTAAATAACTAGCTTTTCATTTGGGAACTCATGGGCATGTTTTGATTTTGGAAGAAACAAACTGAACATATCAGCTTCATCAGAGAAAGTCCTTTTCAGCCATGCCAAAAAATAAACAGCTGCACGTGGTTGAGCTCTAACTAAAGGATTGAAATATCGAGGGTGGGGAAAGCTTATGTAAATAGCAATTAAAAGCAAGGTAATTATACAAGAGAACAGTAATTAATTAAGGWGGTTATAGGTAGAACGTGGGCACAGTAATTTTTTAGCAAAAAGATGCTATTGCTGCATATCTTACTTTGTAATATTTGGAAATTCAGGTATACTGAAAGAAAAAAAGAAATCATRCTGCTTTTCCGATTGCCAGTACAATTTCCTGCACTTTCCTGTGTTTTCTCTAGAGGTCTCCTTTTTAAGATATGATGGTGCTCATGGCCAGGATTCCAGTACTGACTGAGAAGCACAACTGAAAAATGTTGTAGAATATACACTCATCCCTTGCACAAACACCATGTTTTCTAATTTTTTGCCTGTAAAAAAAGTCTTTGTGCCCTTTCTCCAGTGCCATAATTACCATGGAAACAGAACTGCAAATTAAATCAGAAATAACAGGRTTTATGCTCACAATAAAATAAACATACCCCAGATTTTAACTTAGCCAACATAAATTTCCTGGTTTATCTGCATACATTTGATGGTTGAAAATTTAATTTTAGTTTTCTGGAAAAATCTTGGAGTAGTTTCCTGCTTGGGAACAGAGAACTTATAGTACAAAGAGGCTCAATCATAAAAAACACTGCCTGGCTGATGTGCATACACAGTACATGTCAAATTKGCACATTTTGAAATCTGTGTATTTCTTTATCTAAATAGCTTCTCATTTGGGAATTCTAATACGTGATTTAGACCCTGAAATCCAGGCTCAATATATCTGTTTCATCCTATTAATTATAATAATAATAATTTAAATTGTGTTCAGTAGTCTGGCTGAGTTTTCTGTTATGAGAAAGGTTAACTCACAGGTTTTCCTCTCACAGTTTTGGTTCAACATCGGTCTTCAATGGCTATGAAACCACAATCCTGCAAATCATGTGCAYAGTTCAATTGTCTCAAATATTTATGTTCTCATAAATGAAATTTCACAGTCCCTTATGTATAGAAAGTGTAAATCCTGAAAAAATGGGAAAAAWTCTTACYTTTTCTCAATTGGGGAGAGTTGAAGCATGAGCAAAAATTGTGCTGACCAATTTTTGTGAAGTTATGAGACCTACTGGTGCAGAAAAACCCTTATTTTGGTTTGCAAGTACTTGTTTCAGCAAAGGCTTCAACATAATTTGAAACTTCATAGGAAATCAGCCATACCTATCACTTCCATATATGTGTGTGCATATATATGCATGCATTATGTATATGCATACAAATATATATTTATTTTTATACACACATGAATACTATTTCCACAAAACAGAATTCTTTAAAAAGAAATTTTAGACAAAAATGTAGCTACATATATTGGGATGCCCCTCTACTTTTGCAGAAAGAAATTAATCTTARATTTTGCCAAAACTTAAATGCATGAGTTTGAAATCTTAGCGTGTTTAATTTTGGCTCCAAGTATTTCAACTTTGCTTCAAAGAACTGTTTTAGATTAGTGTTATCATGTAAGTTCTTTATGGTAAATGATCAACTTGTTTAGCTTCCTATTAATTTTTATTTTCCTGCACTGTGAAATATTGTTTAGCAGGGTGTTTATTTTCTTTCTGTTTTCTTTTTTAATGCAGTGCCATGGTTATAAAATGTTTGAAGGCGATTCAATGGCTCACTGAATACAGGGAAATAAGAAGCAAGTCATCGCTACAATGCTTTCTCTGAGWCTGAGGATTCTCAAGTCTCATTATTTTTCCCTCACAAGGAGTTTATTGTAGTAATGACTTAGGGCATCTGAAATTATGTTTCTTTTAAAAATCAGGTCACCCAAGAACACCAAAGCCAGACAAAGCATTAAAATAGATTTAATGAAACTTCCAACAAATGAATCCRGAGGACACAAAGCTTTTCAGCAGGGCTTATAGTTCAAACTGCTTATTAAGAGAACCTCCTGTTGAGCAATTTACCTCTCATGTTGGTTTTTCTATCCTTTACTTGGCTTGTTTTTATTTGGTAGTAAAAATACGGTCTGTTCTATTTTGCAAAACCTGGAACTAAGAATAACTTGAGCACCACATGAAAAGTTTTTAAAGTTTCATGTGCTAAATACTAAAGCATATTAAACATTTCTGGAACTTCATTTATTGCCAAATTTGGTTAGCCATCCAGCAAAATGTAGTAAGTCCTCACAAGTGCACTAATAGGTCTGATATTTATGTTGATGGGAGTTCTAAATGAACAAAAACAGCAAAAAACTTGACAGTTTGRCCCAGGTAGACACTTCCAAAACACTTACAGTAAGTTTCATATATATGTACAATCTAAACATTACCTCTCTTCCTTTCCTTGCATCTTTGAATGGGTTTGGTAGCTGTGCTCTGCTTCCCTATATGTATCCATGCAACCCAGCATCGATGTTTCTGTGTAATTTTGTTGTTTAACAAGGCTATTTTGTCGTCTTAAATTCTCACGTTTCATTTTGTGAACAGAAGCTGTGAAATTTCCATGTTCTTTGTTACATAAATCTATACTCTGTGAAAGGTGATAAAACCATCATTAAGTAGTTATTTTTGCCACAGTAAATGGGTGTATTTTTAACAAGCAAACACAAAACAATGTTCTGTGCTAAAGAAAAGACCATATATAATCATGCAACGCTTAGGGCAAACCAAGAGAATTGCCTCCAGAAAAAAAATTGCTGTAGATAAATGGAAGAGAAAGGATAACAGCCTCTATAACACAATAAAACAAATTAAAATTTCTCAGCAAACATGCATTCCAAATATTATTGTTGTAAATTCATCGCTTGCTTTGTAAAACTGATGACATAAAAGCAACAATAACAGTTATAGCTGCAGACTGTATTGCTCCCTCCAGTAACAATTCCTACAAAAATAATAAGCAAAATTATAGGAGTTCATTACTGTACTGGATACAGCGTATGTGTACAGGCACAATTTAATATGGGTGTTGAGATAGTCACCTTCAGCTTCAGAAGCAGTGAGTAAAGCCACATTAACACAGTGCTCTCTGTCCCTGTCACTAAGCCCTGCYTCTCAGCTGGTTAGCCCACATGGTGTAGGGCAAATACTGAAAGTGCAAGACACATGTGCACTGTGATCAGGGGCTAAAGAGCCCCATCCACGAGAATATATGAACCAGGAAATAAAGATGGAGATTAATTCTGGAAATTGTCTAGCTAGGATACTTTTTTCTCCTATCACTTAATCCACAAAGCCTATACTGCACACCTGAGCCAGCTATTTTGGAACTACCTCTCTGCAGAGCACTGCACTGCATTGTGTAATATATTGGCAATAACAGCATACTGTCATCAACAGGAAATTCTCAAAAGGTTTATCAGATTACACACAAAAGACTAAAACCCTTTGCATTTCATTAAATTGTGCTTTCATATATTCCTAGATTTACCTTWTTCTTTTGGAACTCAGCAACTCATTAGTATTGCAGATTTGCTTCTTAGTACACTGCTGGGACAACTGTGCTCCTGCATTTGAAATCTTGTCTTTTCATCGCACTGGTTCGATGCCATCTCTTCCTGTGAACCTTGCCTTGCTTAGTTTTAGGGGATATTTATGAGCCAAGCTGGCATGGAAATGCCAGAAAGTACAAGACAATTTAGTATTTTGTGTAACGATGGGGGAGCAGGAGCTCAGCTATGTCCCACAAATGGGAGRAGTGGCAGAACTGAGGAGGAAGGAGAGTGCTAAGTCATCCTACCACTAATAGCTCTAGAATCAGCAAAGTTATGGCTAGAACCCCAAAAGTGAGCTGGCCCAGCTACATTGCTTTTGACATCTAAACCCTGAAAGTAACCTGCCTGCTGATGCATTAYGCCATGCTGAGTTAGGCTGGCACTAATCTCAGAGGTCTGTGTAAGTGCTCCACAGAACAGAACAAACACATCCATAAAAATCTCTCCAGTCCCTGAAATCTTAATATCAAATATYTCACAATCTCTAATGTATAGATCTTCACAATACATTAGCAACATAGGAAAGAATTATTGAGTCCACATATCCATTGAAACGTGTATTGACCTTGGTATATGTAGTAACTGGGTTTTACTGTTAAAACACAACAGATGTGTGATGTCTCCAAGGATCCTTGTCAGACAGCTCTTCTCAATCTTCAAGAAGAGTGTCACTGCAGAGAAGAGTTAGATATGCACGCACAACATCTATCTATGCTTCCACAATAATAAATCACATATACACATAAAGGTATCCATAATAGTGTGTGTGTATGTATAGGTAAGACATCACTGATGGACATATTTGCTATTTTAAGGGTGTGGATAAATGAGACATTCTTTCATAATAATTAACGAGYCCAAAATGTATGTACATCAACATTCCAGTGGGTTTTTTTTAGTGATAGATAACTGCAGATGTTCTGTAAGCAGGGTGAGTTTTGAAGCTTTTTGTGGAAAACAGCATATATACTATTTATTATATCTTCAYAAGCCATAGTTCTACATAATCTTATGGCACACTTTTTATCAATTAAATTTTGAAGCTCCCCTGTTTGGAGAGAYATAAATACTAAACTCTGAAAATAAACTGGGTGGGAGCATAATGTGTCAGATTTTTACACCGCTATTTAAATACCATGTGAACAAAGGAGKAAGATATTATAAAAGGGACAGATTTTTGTCTGTGAGAATGATGACTGTTTAAACTTAAATAAGTGACATCACTTATGCAAAAAAACCTCCCAGAAACTGTTCAGTGTCTAGACAGCTACTCAAAAATTTAGCTTACTTGTAGTTTAATACAATTGAGGTAAAAGTTACTCTTAGCTATAYCTATTTTTAGGCTGTGTGCGAATAYCACTTGGTTTTGATTGYTGCACATTGTATTTCTATTTATTTCATTTGCACAAGCCATAAATCCCTAAATCTGCTATGATCTTAATCTACATTTGCAATAAATATGTTACTATTCTGCATACTTCATAAATTAAAAAAAAATTACCATGCAACTTTCACACTCCTGGTTTTCCACCAYCTCTTTTAGATGTGTGTTTTCAGATTGGATAACTTGGTAATGGAATTCCAACARCTAGGAAAAGATTAAGTTCTTAGTTAAATACAAGAATATTACTTTTAAGTGGAGTAACACTGAGTGTAGATATATTTAAGCTTAATTTACAAAAAACATGTTAAGAATTACAAAACTTGCAATAATATTTTTAAATATAGCAATACAAAACAGGAAGAAGTATTAAACCATCTATAAAAGATATACAAATGCAATGCCTCTGAATTTATTTACCTTTTTGAAAGTAATGACTTAGGAAAACAAGAAGTTCACATATTACTAGATATAAAGAGGGACAGATTTTACAGGCCATTGAAACTGGATGAAATCCTATTCATGACATCTAGAAACARCATCTACTCTTTTATGATATAGAAATATCTGGTAAAGAGCACCACAGAGCAGGAGACAYCTCTCATTTTCCCCCAAACATTAACTTTATTATAGTCAAAAGTAAAGTATTACTTGTATCACAGTTGAAAAACTGTGTAGTGACCGTCTCAGAAAACTCAGAGATATCCAGAAACCCCTGATTTTGATGGTTCTTTTGGTTTACAAACTAAGCAAAGAAGAGAACGTATTTGATTTTAAAACAGAAAATTGCCACAAAAACCCCACTGATATCTTACAGTTTCCAGATATAAAATTACTAGAATTTTSTATGCAGATTTGTTAAATTCTTCAAAAAGCTTTAGAAACCACTGAAAAATTAGAAACTTAAAGCACCTATAACAACCATGAACTGGAAGTTTTCAAGATCTTTTGCATGTTAAAATGGTAACTAGMTGTGATGGTCGGAATTAATTTCAATTTAGATGTACAGTTGACATTTACTGGTRCTTTCTTCTTCCAGTATCAATTTGGTTGCTTTTGTAATACTTCACAGATATTACAGCACTGCTGAAAAAAACTGCCGCAAGAAATATAATGTCTTTTTTTTTCACAGATAATGAATGTCAGTATCAATGGTGTGAGTTAAAATGATGTAGGCTGKTTTTGCCTACTTGCATACCTGTTGTTTTGCTAACAATTTGTGTTTTGTCTCTAACTCCATTTTTAACTGCCTTTCCAGAAGACTAGCTTTCTCCATGATAGTTGCTATAGTGATCTCCTTCTGATGAAGCTCCTTTGTCAGGTCAGAGATTTCTGTCTTCGTTCTTTCCTGCTCAGAGCGATGGGACTGCTCCTCTCGATAAACATGGTTTCTTATCTGTAGCAAATAGATTTCAAAAAGAAAAAATGATGTGCAGTAAATATGATTGCATCATTTGCTACTTATCAGTGACTTTTTCTGCTGTTGCTTCCAGGACACCAACTCTTCTAACTGAATCAGAGATTCTGAGATTGTAAAATAAAATGTCTTCAGGAGTCAGTCCACAGAGCTTTGTTTATTTTTACATCTTTTTTCAACACTTCTCTTGTACWTTCATTTGCTTATTTAGTATTAGAAATCAACAAAATACAGTACACTTCAATTAAAATTTTAAAGGAAAGTAAAAAAAATAATGTAAAGAATTGGAATTTATGRTAAAGARTATCAACGGAAAWATCCATTCAATAAGCTTAAGCATKATTTATTTATATTGTTTCTAGGGTAAGTTAGGTTTAAAGTAAGTTTGATGAAGCCTGAATTAACTTAGGAGCAATATACATAAATTGATCTAGAGACTGTTTAATAGGAAACTATGTTAGAAATAAGGAATCCATATGGTAAATCATTTCATGACAATTTTTCCTATCATTACATATAAAATTTAAGCTTAAACTTTCTGCAGAGTTTTCCAAAGTTTCAACACAACAATTGTTTTCATAATCTTTCTATTGTAACCAACAATTTAGTACTGATAGATCTTTTTATTAAGAAAGAAAACTACAAAACCCAGCRTAACAATCTTTGAACCCATTTCAACAACTCCCTGCAGTACTGTACACAATGAGTAACAGATTGCATTTCATTTTTATTTATGCAAACTGCACAGAAATACTGAAATGGTAAACAAATAGATGTGGATGCAAAAAAAACCCCAAAGAGATAGATCATGACTGTCATTTCAAAACTGATGGACTCAAGACAGCTGCATCCAAATAGACACATTCAAAACCCACCTGGATGMATTYCTATGTAACCTGCTCTAGGTGACCCTGCCTTGGTAGGGGGTTGGACCCTTCCAACCCTAACAATTCTGTGATTCYTGCTTACATTGTGACTCAGTAAAAACCACAACATGCCTGTAAGAGTAGCTCTGATCATCCTCTATTTCCAGAGTATTTTGGCCTGCCAAACCATACACTATTCCACAGTGCCATGCCACTGCTGCTTGCTCTCAGCCCTTCTGAAATGTGCAATGCAATGTAATGCGTAGTTCAAACCAAAGAACTCTGCCCTAGACTGCTGTCAGAGACTGAAATAGTTCATGCCTCAAACACTGATATAAAGTTTTGCTCATTATAACAAAAACTGTATAAAGAAGCTACAACCCAAAAAAGCCTCCCTGAAGATACCTGACTGGGATTTTAGACTGTAAATGAAGCTGCTGAGATAAGACACTATTGTTCAATCATCTCAGCCTAGGGAAAAACAAACAAGGCTGAGGGAAAGSAATGCATACATAAGAGCCAAATGCAGCAGAGATTCTTCTCTGGCTAGATTTGAGGTGGGGGAGACCACAGCCTGCAGAAGCCAGGTTTACACAGGCTCTCCCCCAAAATGAAAAAGGGAGGAGGAGGTTTCAGGGGCATGGCGTAACCTCTGCTCAAAGGGAATAYACCCCTCCTCCCTTACACAGACAGGCCCAGCTGTGGAACCCTCAACCTCACCGGCCACATCCATGGGACATTCAAGTGAGAGGCAGCTGAGGGGGTGYCATAATCCATCAAAGATCCCCCCAAAGCACTCCCCAGAGGCCTTGCACCACAGGACTAAATGTGATGCAACAGATGCAGAGTCTGCTGCAGGGGACTGCCCCCCTCCCCCGGGGGGACATGCCTGGACACTGCCACCTGGCCTGAGCATGTATTAACCCATGGGATTCTATGCTTTTCTGGGGGAACCATCACCACCAAGAAGACCAGCTGKAGAGGATCAATGGAACATTGTTGGGGTCCATCGAGGATGATATTTTCTTTATTCTGTCTCTGTTTCACTCTCTTTCCGTCCCCGCCACCTCTTTCCCTTCTTCTCCCTTTCTCTCTCTTCTCTCTTTCTCATATTTACTATCAAATAAAACCCATACTATTGACTGGYATATGGTCTCATTTGCACAATATCTGGAAATGATATGAAATACCTTGTTCAGATGTTCTTGGAGTTCTTGACTTTCTGCAAATAGCAATAACTCAGTGTTTTTATCTTCTAGTTGCTCAGTAAGCTCAACGTGAGATGTTTGATGCCTTTAAGTAAGAAATAAACAACACATGAAATAACCAGAACATTCAATACTCTTCACCTTGCAGTATGCTTTCCACAGTGTAAAACTGTAGAACACCTGCTTGCTGATGAAAAAATACCCCCAAACACAACCAAAACTTGGCCTAAACCAGGTGGGAGATGTCTAGAAATGAAGGATAATGCAACTATGTGCAGAAAGAATCTTGAAAGCTCTTGTATATGTACTTTATAAAATTTGAAGTGGCTACAGCCAAATAGATAAGCCATAAGACCATGATGAGTTTATTCAAAGGAAGCTGGGGAGAACCTTAATTGCACTATTTCCAAAGTGTTTTAATGCAGAAAAAATTGAAGACTGTAAAGATATACATAGAAATACCTGAAATGTGTTGATTCRTAAAGATCTGGGCATCATTAAAGCCTTTTAACAGAACCTGAATCTATTGCCTGAAATTGTGCTATAGTATTGTCGATGAAAATACTCAGTCTAAAATATGTCCGTTTAAAAACTGAAATATGAATACAGAGCATGTTTTTCAAACAGAGTTAATTTTAAACATATTTTAAGAAAAAAATTATTAGCTCGGAAGTGCTTGTTAATATAAATATGTCTTCACCCATACATACTTTATTTGAATTTTCTGCATATCTTTATACTCTTTGATTTTCAATAATTCTGTATGCAACTGTTGGCATTCCAGTTGCATCCTTCTCCAGAGACTATCTCTTGACTGCAGCTCATTTCTCATTTCTAAAACGTCTGCCTCCATATTCTAAAGGAACAAACAAATGCAAAAACAGTAAAATAAAATTAGCCAGCTAAAAATGCTGTATTTTAACACATCACATTTAATACCTGTACATACATGATTTCTGGAAAAGATACTGCTTCCATGTCAGTTCCTCTCATCTAAAAATGAGATGCTGAATATTCTTTAACTCTTACAATGTTCCARTGCATCTGCCTCTGAAATTGTCATAGGAAACATAATTTAGAAGTTCTTTGTTGTAGTAAATGCATCTAAAATACATAGTTTCATCGTTTTAATAGGTTCTKCATTGTAGAACATGTTTCACATGCTGGAATTAATGCCATAAGTAGCTTTCATTTTCTATTTTCCTAACAGCATTTCCAAATTTCTAAACTTGAAAACTACAATGCTACATAAATCTTCTCCAAAACTAGTTCCATCTGCATGGAGTTAATTACTTATTTAAATGAACTTCACAAAATTTTCAAATAAAAAAAGACTTTTCTTAGGAACTTGACAAACCCTGTTTCAGTTTTAATTTCAGATTGATAGCATGTTAGACAACCTGAAGATATATATTACATTTGGCATGATAAAATATGAATTCCGAAAAAACCAGAATTTCACAAAAATATACTGGAAACATACTAAATATAAGAAATTGGAATTATAGCCCACAAATAACACAAGCAGCAATAATAATCAGTTCTTGCAATAGTATTTTCCAGAGAATACTTATTGCTTCTCCCTTAAGATCCAAAAGCATATTTCTGATTAAAATCTTTTTTTTTCCAAGGATATTGATAATTTACCTTTAAAATTATTACACTAAAGCCATTAGCATTTTCCATAATTTCTTCATTTATTTCAATATAGCTTCCATATTTAAGAAAATTAAGCTTCCTTATTTAAAAAAATAAAGGCTTTAAAATTTCAAAAGAGACCTGGAATCCAGAAATGWCACTGCAAGCAAGAACTTCAAAGGTTTATTTCCCTTAAAACCTCATGTCTTGAGTTGATTTTGTGCCAATCCTGTATTCCTATATTCCKYCAGCTTGTAYGCCCAAAAGGTGTCTGTGCCTTTAAATCTGACCCGAAACAAGGGGCAGGGGCAGAGTGGGCAGTTTAAAAGCCRGGGCTGCCGTGTAGCTGTTGGCTTTTGGACCTCAGCTCGGTGCTGTGGGAGGTCTGCTCACTGCCTGCAAGGGAGTTATGTTGTTGCTGTTTAGCTAGCTCAGGTTTGTTAGCTTAGGTTTTTTAGCTTGTGCAAACAGCTCTCCTTGGACTGCTACTCCTTTCTGCAGCTCCTGTGATTTTCGGCAGGGACAGTGAGCTGCTCCAACAGCCAGCGGGSACAAGTGGTGCTGCTCCGTCTCGTCTGGGACTTGGGAAGAAGCCAAGCTGGCAACAGAAAGCACACCAGGCTCTCTGTTTCATCCACAATGAGGAGAGGACTATCCAGGTTTTGCCACTGTTGCCCAAGCGCCAGGTGGACTTTTTTTTCTTTTGTTTCTTTTTTCCCTGGGACAGGGGSCACCATCTTTCTCCATACCATTGCTGARCGGCTGTGGGGGAGGGAGCAGCGTGCATTCCTAGACTTTTAAATATCTAACAGTTACTTTTTATCTGTGTCCTGTGGGCACTGTGTTTTGTTAATAAACTACTTTATTTTTTCTCTTCACTTTTGCCCGAGTATCTATTTCATATTGGTGGGAAAAAATTATCAAATTTTTCACTTCAGAGGAAACATTTACTCACTAACATTTTTTCTCTGAAAACATTGTCTCAAACTGAGACACCTCATATGAGAATGACCTTCCTTCCAAGAAGCCCGTGGTTTTCCTCTGGCTGGAAGGGTTGCTGAAGACAGATTTGAAGTGCTTTTTTKGTTTTTTGGGGGTTTTCTTAKGGGCTGAATATATGGACTCATTCACCTTATCCTTTTTTACTTTAAGGCCCAGAGAGCTTTTTAAAACATTGAAATGCAACTTGTGGTACATTCAAATGAAATAAAGTTTAATAGACTGTTAAAATTGTTTGTAAGACCTGTTTATTCTCATCTTCATGACTCCAATATTCAAGAAATAGTCACAATTATTTTATAACATATGAATTTGGGAGATGGTTACCCCTCTGATTTCATTCTGGCGTGGATAAGGGAAATGAGTTCTGGACAATTGTGTGGCAGAAGTAATATTTTCTGTGATATACTGTAGTCATCACACATATTTACATAAATTGTATTTTCTTCTGTGAATTACAATAGTAGCAGGAACAAGAGCAGCCACAGCGGCAGCTGCAATGATAATTGAAACAGAACGTCAGGTCAAGAGTTTCACAGTTCCACATATCAGTTAAAAAAATTAGATATGCATCCACTATTATTTTAGAAAATACCTATTGCATTTGGTAAAAAAGAAAATTAATTTTGAACCAGAAGACATCAGGTTTACCTCCTTCATACATTCCCCTGCTCTGGTGTGTGTCCCTTCGGGGGCTGTGAGTGGATCTCTGCTCCCCTCTGGTCCTCCATGTGTTGCAGGGGCACAGCTGCCTCACCATGGGCTGCACCAGGGGCTGCAGGGGAATCTCTGCTCTGGCACCTGGAGCAGCTCCTGCTCCTCCTTCTGCACTGACCTTGGGGTCTGCAAGGCTGTTCCTCTCACATGTGCTCTCACTCCTCTCTCCTGACTGTACAAGGCTTTTTTTCCCCCTCTTCTCAAATGCATTAACCCCAAGGTGCCACCATCATTGTTGTGCTCAGCCTCGCCCCGTGTGGGCCTGTCTTGGGAGCTGCTTTCATTACCAAAACCTTCCCAATGCAAATCCAGCACACTGTTCAAGCTTTTAAATATCATTATATGGTATATTTTTATGTAAATAGTGTATAGCAGCTGACCTAATGCTGACTTTTTCAAGAACCAAACCCTTTGTGTGATGTTTTCAGGTTGCCTCTCATGTTATAGCCACCGATAAGTTTGTCAGATTTGTCTACCCATAGACAAATAGACTGCAGTCTCCATTTGGATCTTCTAAACTTTGTACTTTCTGTACCACCAACAAACTGGTCTTCTTGCTAATTGATAGTATAAGATAAATAGAAGCACACATGAAATGACCATAGGCACATATGGAGGAATATATGAGGCACAATACAAGTCTTGCTTTCATTGCCATCAGATTTCTCCACACCAAGATTCCCATCTACTCCTTCCTCCTTCACCCATGTCATGTCCAACTATTGCCATTCTCCACCTAACTCTCCTCCATGCAAATCTGCTTACTTTTTCTGACTGACAACAGGCCTTGTACTTTCTTCTTTCTCATACAGGCATTCCCAAAAAAATATTTTCCCTGACCTACCCCTTTTCACCATACACTGACGTTACATCAGCGTTTCCCTTCTGCACCTATTTCCAAATGTGGCTTTTTWAACTAACATAGCAGCATTCCACACCACCAACACAGTAATTCTGCAACTTTCTGCCCTTTAGGTGACACTGTTATGTACATCTAGCTCTGCTTCTACTTAAAGTGTGTTCAAGCTTCCTACAGCTCCTGTAGTCTCTTGAATACATGATTCCAAAATTCCTCCTGCTTGAAGATTTTCTTAACAGCTACAGCACAATGATACATACTCTCTCCATAATACAGTATCTATCCACTTGCTCCAACTGCCATGATTAGTGCCACTGCATCCTCTAGTCCCACTGCTWTTGATGGCAGCCTCTTAAACAGGCCCAAAACCAGTGTTTTTTGCTTGCATACTGATATCTTGTATACAGACAGAAGACTCAGTAGTGAAATAATGTGCAAAGGGCATGTATAAACTTGGCTGTTCTGGTAACACCTGACAACACAATCTGAAATTAACCTCTGCCACATATATGATAATTCCCATAAAGTGTATTGCATATGCTGTTATCACTTTGAAAGACTGTCTATAAACAGAAACAAATCTTTCTCTAAAAGGACTTGAAGTAACCATAGGCCATAACCATTCAATATATTACTGAATATAGAAGTGCTTAAATAAATGAACAAAAGTATAACTGGTATATGTTACCAGAAAAAGCAACAACGAGAATCTCATTCCTGATATATATTAAACACAGCTRATAAAAATGGCTGTAAAGATCTTGTATTATCTCAGTCACGTCAGAACTCATACACCATGACCAAAAGAAGGGGAGCAAATGGCTGTCTTCATAGAGCAGTGCTACACCAAGAAACAGTGAACTAGGGATAAAACCTGATGGTTCTTTACATGGCCAGAAACTCTAAAAGTCTTAAAAATTGACTGCAAAATCTCCTYTCAAAACTAACAAAGTATACCATACATGTTTTTATATACTTATTTACTGGCTATATGGCACAATGAACAACAAGTGTAAATCAGATAAAGAGATTTTACAGAAATCATTTATATACAGGGAACCAACTTTGACAAAGCTTCTGTAAATGCTGTAGAAATAGGAGAATTATAAAACCCTAGATATACAGACAAGAGAAAAACAGACTACTACAAATCAAACTTWTTTCTGTTTACTAAAAAAAACCAAAACCCATACTGTTCCCAGATTATTCTGTGTTCCTGCAAAGGATACACCTAATGTACATTTGTGTGGGCATCTCATTTTGATTTTCCAACATTAATTCCATCACTTCCATCATAAAAAACTAATACTACCTGGCACTGGTTTTGGTACATTTTTAGATCCTCACGGAGTTTCATATTTTCCTCTTCCAGTTTATTCTTGTTTCTTGCTATTTCATTCACAGTKTCCTTTAGCTTTTCAATAATCAAATAATCACTTTCACTTTTGGGCTGGGCATAGGTAATTAGCTCTTCTTGGCTTTGTTTCTTAATGTGTGTTTGGGATTGATAATTTCGGTTCTATAAAACAAGAAAAYATTTTAAATTAAACTCAATAATTATATGTAAATTGCTAGGACCAAATAATTATTCCTGTAATCATAAGGCTACTCCTTTCTTCACCTGGATTTGCATAGAAAAGATGGTACAATTCAAGCAGTTTGAATTACTTGCCCTCAGTTAAAAAAAAGTTTCAGAAACCTTCAAGGGCACAGAATTTTTTCAAGGATTTTTTTTTCCTGTGCTGTGTATTTTCCTAGTATTTAATGTTAATGAGCCTCAAATGTGAATAAGGTGATTATGATGACCTACTCAAAGCAGTTACCTATAAAAAATAATTTGAGAGAAATGTTCCTCTTTGATTCATTGAACTCAGTAGGAGCTCTGTGTGTGTGTGCCTCAGGATAGATATTAACCTTTGACTAGAGGGCTGCCATTACATAGTTCATGTACAAACAGCTCAGTTACTACRGGAGCTGCACTTCTTTGAGATCATTATCCTTAAACCTGGGGAAGAATCATTTGTACATTTGGCAGAGTCCTACACTCCATGCAGCTTCTTGTACTAATTAAAACCCTAAAAACAAAACTTCAGAAAATTGGTATTGCCAGTATTTCTGAATCCACAGGAATTGTGAAGAAGCATAATTACTATGGAAACTGTTTTTGCTGTTTAAAAAACTATCCACATGGATCTCTCTACTGGGAGACTAACAAGCAGCACTAATCTTTCAGAAGACTGGGAATTAGTTGAAAAATGCCAACAAAATATGACCTGGAAATCATATATCATGTGCAGAGCTCAAGCTGGGCAAGAAAATACATAGTAAAAATAAACAGGGTTACAAATATCRTATTTCAATGACAACGACTGCAAAAAGTCATTCTTTATACAACTTTTGATGTTATTGACTATGTCCCCATAATTTGTGTTGCCTGAGAATGTAAGTAGAATGGATCACTGTCTGCACAGCAAATAGAAAGCCCAAAAAATTGCAAGTTTCATTTCTATAGATAAAAAAATTAAGGGCCCTTTGACATCCAAGTTATGGACTCTGATATACCAGTGTAAGTGCATCCTGTGAAAAATAYAGTGCAAGACTCCAACTGGAAATCAAAGACCTCACAAAAGAGGAATTTGAGGCAAAGATACAGGAACACTAAATGCTTTGAAACAGCTAAGGGTAACAGYCCAYCAGACTTGTGTTTGAAAAACCAGTGGGTGTTATGTTACAGTCRTGAAGAAAATTGTCTTCAAAGCWAATTCACKGATGGCAACCAAARYTTCAACAGAAAAATGTGAATGATCRCCCTGAGCACTCTATTTTGACTTGTCTAACTATGCAATCAACACTTATCAGTCAATAGTTTTGTCTAGTCAAAGACTTGCTTTTTTAATGCATTTCTATGGAAATTCTGTCACTGGAATATAATGCTCTCAGCAGCTAAACCCAAAACTTAACTGTCATCCTTGGAAACTCTGGATATGTGTAAAGAGTCTCATAGGAATTGTTAAGAAAGTGTTTCACTAGATTAAGATCCAATGAGCTTAGTAACAATGGAAAAGGGAATTACCAGTGAGCAACATAATTGTTTTGCCTTACTTAATTTTCAAACTGTCTTGTGGCCTAGTCAATTAGCAAGTTGTTTTCTGTTTTTTTTTTTTTTTTTTTTTTTTTTTTTTTTTTTTTTTTTTCTTTTTTTTTTTTTTTTTTTTTAAAGAAGGATAGGTCATCATGACATCATTAAATAACATTTTTTTCTGTATTGGAAGGAATTAAAAGAATAAAAAGATGCAATATCAAGGGTCTATATATAAAAAGAGCAATAAGCAAATTGGCAAGTAAAAAATAATCATAGTCAACCAAGTAACTGCATGGTAACTAGAAAGCCAAAAAATATGATCAAAAAGGGCAAAGTGATACAACAAACAACTCCAAGAGTGATTCTGGAGTAGCATATGAAAACTCATTTTTCKGCACAAATTATACTAGTGTATATTTATGATCGCCAGAAAAATAAAGGCTATCAGATTTGAAAGAAGTTTATATTTGAGTCAACACCTTAATAGCATGTCTACTTACATGATAAGATAATTTTTAAYAATGTGTCACAAGTAATTGCATAGTGGTAAAGAGCATGGAAGATAAAAGTATCTCCATAATATGCTTAAAAAATAAAAAGGAACATTCACTGGTTTTTGAATTGTTTGGGTTTTTTTTTTTTTCAATAGAAATGTTATAATTTTCATCATGATCCTGATTAATTTTCTCATTTTCACAARAAAAATAAAATAATGATATATCATTAGATATTCCAGTATGGCTCTGCCTTACCCAAAGCAATATATTCATTACCAATATAGACATGCATTATAAGATTCACTGTAAACTTAGTTTTWAAAAAAATTAACTTAAAGTAAGCTCTAGCTGAACAAAGAGTTTATTTTCTTCCTAAAGCAGGAAGGTAGAATTTCACCTGAAATAAATTACATTTCTCGGGCAATAGTTTTGGTTGCACATCTAAATAAACAGGGTTATTTTGACAYATTGTCCCATTCTTCTCCCATTCTCTTGATTTTTCCTTAAATTCCTGAAAGACAGCAAAACAAGGCTAGCAAAGTCAGGGAAAATATCTATTTTCCTCATTCTAAATAATTTTGCATTTTGAATCATTCTAAGAAAAATCTAGTTTCTAAATTAATACATCATCTTTCCATAATTTTGGAAAGAAGTAAAAATAAAGAACACTTATATAAATCAGCCTTCAGTTATCCCCACCAGAAGAAGTCCAGCGTTAAGGGCTACTAAAAGCTGTAATATATTAGAGTTATTACTATAATACACAGATTTTATTGGATGGTAGTTCCTGTGACTTTAAAGCTATATCAGTGTTGAGCAGAGAAATCAGCAGGCAACTAAACCCTTAATATTCAGACACATGTTTTGAGTGCTCACTTTTTGCTTTTTTTCACAAATGGGACAGCAGCCACCTTGAATAAATTTTACTTCTTGCCCTCTTTAAAATTGCTGCTTCAGGTTCTGAATTCACCTAGTTTAAATGAAAAACTTTTWAAGAAATTCTATTATACTAGATTTATCTAACACTGTTTTTGTATTTGTACTTACATTCATACTTATAGTGTATTTGAATTTTCTTTTAATTTAAACCAGACCTTATATGTTCAGAAATACACTTTAAAGGCAGTACCTTGCAAAATAAGGAGAACTTCACTTACTGGAGCTGTTGCTATTTTAGTTTGAAAATTTAGCAAAATAATACTGTGCTGATTTWTATGTTGAAAACTAAAGGAAATGTTGTTCCAAAAAGACAGATGATGTTTTATAATTAAGCTAAACTGGAATATTCCCCAAATTAAAAAAATAAGGGKTKTTTTTTGCTACTGAAACAAAACTGAATCWTTTTCAACATAGATTAATACAAATTTTCTTTCAGAGCTTTCTCAATATCTGCTTTGACATTTAAAACAATAAACATTTTCCTATTTTATAAAACATGATATAAATGGAGTTTCAGACTACTTAATGAGGACTGCAGGTTCAAGGCCTTACTAAAGCACTGCTGAGCTTAGTAGATTTTCACCACAGTAATTATTTTCTGAATACTTGAATTTGCTGAATATATTCCAAGCATTCATTTTTCATACTGCATAATTAATCAAATTATAGCATTGTCTTAGATTATTTTCACATTTTAATCTTGAGTAAGGTTATTATCAAATTAGCTGACAGCAGTGATATATTTAGTCAATGACAGATGTACAACCCGTTTTTTATTCTTGTAGTAGCGGATGTTGGCAGCTACGCTGCGTTCCAAAGCATTGGGGCTTTTCTGATGGTGAGAACTTGCATGTGGAAGAGACAGCCAACATCATGCAGGGTTGGGATGTGTCTAGGGTGTCTATGTAATTACAGCATCTGGCAGTTGCAGAAGTTAGTCCTATATCTTATAAAATAACATGAAAGAAAAATTCAAAATACAGATCCTAAGGCCCTGCTTAATTTGGATTAAAATTTGGAAATTACTTAAAATCAACTAGAGCTTAATTTCTTGATTGCAAAGTTCTCAAAGTGTCCAAATAATCTACATCACAAATTTGCATCATAAATGTGTAAGTCTTCCCAATGTCTAGCAGCTGGGCAAACAGCTCCCATATAAACTGATATTCCTGTCCTTGCTTTGCCTACAGCACCCAGTCCAGTAAGCACTCAAAGCACATACTACTTTATTATGCTATTCACAAATAGAATAGATGGACAGACAAAACATGAATTTCATKTTTGTGATTCTCCTATGCTTCATCAGGATACTGTTTAGACTGTTCTTCCCATAAGTGGAGGATTTGGTGTAAAAATCTTTCAAGGCAGAATCTGAAGTAGAATGTTAATTTTCTACCTAACAAATCTTAGTTTTCAACAGGCTATGGAATTGTTCCTTTTGAAGTTGTTTCACTTTGTTYAGGATACCGGGGAATTTATTAGATAGGTAGAAAAGAAGCAGCAAAAATTAGCATACCTAGRGATTATATTGCTCAGTTATAAGAAATAATACTGGATATCAGTTTCTGCCCCGCTAATGTAGCCAGAGGAGTATTTGGAGAGAAGACACCACTTGCAGGCACACTCTCTACAACTTCTGTACCTTGCTTAACTTTCCTGTTAGTCCAATAAATATCTGATTATTCCACAGATCATAAAGTAATCTCTGATAAGTCAAGGCTGGGAATTATGAACAAAAATCAGTGCCTTCCTCTATCCAAGAAAAASTCCACTAAAATCCAGCCTGTGTCCAAAGGGATAGGGAATATGTCTGAATCCTGTCCTCAGCATCTATTATCTAGTCCCCCARTAAGTATGCTGGATTCTGCAGAATGTATTTTTAAGCACCTAATCCTTCGTAGGGAAACAGGCACTGAGTTCAAGGTCATGGATTGCCTCAGGCACAAGGGTGCTGACAAGAWGCATGTGTAACAAGCAGCTTTCCAAACCTAAATCCTTTTTTTCTGTGTTGCCCAACATGGTCACAGTTGTCCTGAGGTCTATAAAATTTGAATTAATAGTAGGTATTATGTGACAGTATCTTGCATATGTAAAAGGTCTCACGCCTCAAGAGMTTGTGTTATCCAGAACACACATATTAATCAGGGAAACAGTAACATTTATTTATWGTTACACTTACAAAAAATACTGATATTAATTAATGTTGAAACTAAGCACCMTTTTTGTCAAAACAAGACAATTAGATAATTTTTGTAGACTCATGAGCAAACTAARGCTTACAATTTTGAATAAAATAGAGGCATCTTAAAATTAGAATATAATAACAAAGTATTCTTACCTCCAGTTTCATGTATAAATTCCTTGGGTCAGATGGTGTCTCCAGGTTTTCCTCACATTTTTCACTACTTTTGACATTTTTTTGTTTTACCCGATGTGACTGTAGCTTTTCATAAGTATCTGTCAACTTTGAGAACTAAAAATGAAAGTAGAATTGAACATGCAGAATCTATCAAAGATGATCACATGGCCAAAGTTTTCTTCAAAGTAGAATCACCARCTGCAGCTTTAGCATTCTAAATGTTTAACCAATGTAACAAAAAAATCAATGAATACAGTTAAAATCAATTAATGAATTATCATAGATGAACAAAACTGAGCTCTCACGTACATGTTAACTAACTGTTCAAATGGGTTCATTTGACAGCTACTTAATTTTGCTGCAGTTCTTCATGGCATTGTTACCCACAGAGTCATTTCCTCTACAGTGCTTATAGGGAATGTTCTATACTTGTTTACTGCCATCTTGTGTTGACATTTTTAAAGGGTGCTYCACTAGCCAGAATGAAAGATTATCATGAATGTACTTGGAACTTGCTTGTTTCTTTTTTGCAATGAAAATTGTTGAAATGTTATGTATATGACGATTGCACAGTTCTGGTCCCACTGAGTGTCTCTTAGAAATAAGACCCTAAATAGACAACAGACACTGCCTGATTTCACCATGAAAGCCTGGCTTAGGAGTCAGAGGCAGGGAAGAAAAGGTACCAGAAGGACCAGCCTCTACAGAGAARCAGCCAGTCTGATCAGTTCACTACACTGCATGAACAAAGTGCTGTAGCTAGCGTCCACTGTCTGTTAACAGGTTTGATWCAGAAAACTGATACTCTTTGGTAGGAATATGTATACATTTGGGATTGAAAAAAAATGCAAACCCAAGGGTATTGACAAAGGAAATATGATCTTGAGGAAAGTTGAGGAAAAGAACTTTGTGAAGAATATTGTGCAGAAAAGAAGTTTACAACTACAAATACAAAYCATGTCTCTTGTTTAGTTCCTTTAAATTTAAGTACATATTACTTTAAAAAATCTGGCTCTAATATAAAGTTCTTTGTATAACCTAACAGAATCCACAAAATCTCATATTTTTGTTAACAGCTCAAAGTGAGCTACTGTTTGGAAATGGAATGGAATCCTATTGAGTCCATATCGAGTGAGCAATTGAGGTCTGTGCAGATAACAAATATGTCCAAAGAAGTTCAGAAAAGAWACAGAGAAGAAACTTGTTTAAAATCATCTGGAAACTTCCCAGACATACTTGAGATTGATTTGGGAATCATAATAGGGGACAGCAAAAACTAATTGAAAAGATGATGAAAAGACAGATCATCCAGGACAAGAAAGTTCCATTATACGGAGAGGCCSAGGCATAGATTTGACCAGCAAGGAATATCTGAATAGCAAGTCTGTAAAATGGACACACAGAGTTGAGTTATCACCTTCAAAACCAAATCACAAGTCTTGCAGTGAAGCTGCATATATTTGAAATTGACTTTGCCAGGGAACACAGTTAAGATAAAATATTTAAAATGAGTCAGAGTATCCAGGCTCAAGCAACATGGAACTCATTGACCTTGGAAGAAAGATATCATTTTTCAAATAACAATTTTACTCTTCAATATGTTATGGCATATGTGAACTGCCTGGGAAGAACAAATTCAGGTAAGACAGGTATTGGAATGTTTATGCTAAGAAGGCTAGAAACTACAGGATCCAACAATTCAGTATGTCAGTCTAAAATGGAACAGAATGTCCAAAAAGAGAAAATTTAGTTTGAGTATTAGATATTTAATGACAGTAGGATATTAGAGAGAAATTAAAGTCTCRATGCTATCATGACTGAAAACTAAACAAAAAGCCAAAAATCCTTCCATTTAATGCCAGATATTAGCTTTAAAAGGTCCNAAAAAAAAAAAAAAAAAAAAAAAAAAAAAAAAAAAAAAAAAAAAAAAAAAAAGATGAGGCATTTTAGTGAGTTTTGGGGTAGGATCCATCTAAGTTTAAATTTCTGAAAATTAGACATACCTTAGATACTCTACATTAGAAAAAACTGCCTGTAAGTGCTTAGTCATTTCAGCAATCTTAAATTCTTATCATGACATGAATTGAATTCTGGGGGCGTTTATTTCCTTCTCTTTATTCTAAAGGGAGCCTGGCGTACCTCAGACGAAGCTTTTAAATGTCTAAGCGAGGAAATCAGTTGCAAAGTTCTTACAGTAAGAATAGCTGAATAGTCTAGCATTCTAACAGCTAGAAAAAGATCTTACTATTCCTATAAAGATTAAGCAGGAGCAAATCTCGGGAGGGGTTTTAAGAGTAGGTCTGTAGAGAAAGATACAACGTTATTGGTAAATAGTAACACACAATTTCTTCAGAATTAAATTGCCGCTTGCAGGATTTAAACAGTTTAGAAGGTGGTATAACTTCCAAGTGAGAATAAGAGCTGCAAGAAGGGAATCAAAGGAGATAAGGCAAAGATTCATATTGTCACAGAAGGTCTATATTTTAGATWTGAGTTTGTGATATGAGCTGAGAATTGGAGACATTAAATCCATTCCATTGCTGACACTGCAGCACTGTAATTCAGGAATTCAAGAATTCCTAATTCTATAAGGAGACACGATAAAAGCTAGAAGGGATAGTCCTGTTGTCTAGCAAAGGTGCTAGGAATTGTTCTGACAGGGAGACTTCTGTTTATGACATAGAGAATTTAGTCAGGCCTCTTAACATAGGCGTTTAACAGTTTACTTCKTCAGTCAATGTGAACTAAGTAGGTATTTCATGAAGAACTATGGTTTGGCAAAAGGAGAGGAACGAGGATTGGAAAATAAAATCAGTGCTGGAACTCTTAGCAAAATAAATAGGGTGAYTGAGATAGAATGAAATGTTTAAAGGCATGGATTGGGAAAGTGATGTACATTCTTAAGAGCTAGAAATCCAAACTTCTTGCACAGAGATAGAAGAAGAAGTAATCAAGAAACTCAAAGAAAGATTAGGTGGTCTGAGTGGTAACTAAAAAGGCAAATCTAGGCAAGAAATATAACAAGGTTTAAAGAGAAAACCTTGTAGTTTAGAAAATGTCAGGTTCTTTAAAAAAATAAAAGAGAAAACTGGTTGTATTTGCCCATGGAGAGGACTTGCAGGGTGATTAAAACCTCCAAAATAAAAATCTTCATGAAAAATGGCCTGGACTTTCAATTTCAGAGGTTCAATTTCGGTGAAGGTCTTAGCAACAACATGTAACATAAACCAAACCATTTTTAGCATGGGATAAAAAAAATAATTAGGAAGTGAAACATATTGCAGCATAAAAAATGTCATAAAGAAAAGAGAGACCTACTATATTTYTGAGCATATTTCTGCAATGCTAAAGGTACCTTAGAACTTATGCATAAAATGTCACATTCTTTTTCATTGTGTGATGTTTATCTTCTCAATAATCATGCTAAGATGATGCTTTTCTCTAATTTGTGCAAATTATAAACTAGCTTTTATTTCTAGATACTTTTYCAAATGATTAAAAGTGTTAATTACAAAACAGCCAAAGCTTTCACTGCCCACTTACAGAACTGTTTTCCAAATCAGTTTTCATATGTAAAAGAAAATATAARTTGAAGACAACATAACATTAAAAAGAAGTAATACATTTATTCCTTTGATGGACACAGGTGGTATTATCTCTTCTAAATGAAAATAATGATATCCAAGTTATGCAATCCAACATCATATAGTAAGTGCAGCAATTGGAAATTCTTAATTATAACATTAAGTCTCTGGTAGGAGAATCCAGTGAAGGGAACAGGAAAGTAGSAAGAAAAACAATGCAGAGTTGAATATGTTATTAGTGAAAATCTGAGACAGAATCAAGTCAAAGTTGCTAAGAATTTAGATTAATAATTAAAGTAGAAAATACTGAAGATACAAAAATGCRGGYGCAGAGCAAACACAGCCAAATGGTTTGGGYTGGGTTGAAAGGAACCTTTAAAAGATCATCTAATCCAACTCCCCTACCATAAACAGGGAGACCTYCCACTAGACCAGGTTGSTCTAAGCTCCATCCAGTCTGGCCTTGAATACTCTGGACAACCTGTTCCAGTGTCTTACCACCCTCACTGAAAAAAGAATAAATTGTTCCTCACGTACAGTCTAAATCTTCATTCTTTCAGTTTGAAACCCTTGTCCTTTCTCTCAGCCTGTCTTCATAGGAGAGAGGTCCATGTTCTCCCACTCTTAATGGCCTKCCCTTGACTCACCAGAACAACAAATAAAGCCAGAACAAACTCCCAATATCATTAATGGGGGTTACTCCAGTTTTGGTACAAAGTAATCTGTACCTTATGGAAAGCTATCAGGCCTCTTTAACAGTCAAGTAAATCAGGGAGACTAAAACCAGAAAAAAAGTACAGCAAAGGCATAGTAAGCAGAGTTTAAATCTTCAAATTCCTAATGCGCATCAGAATCATATTAGCATGAATCCAATTATCTACCTTATTCACTCACCAAGGCTTTAGTTATTAGTCTGAAGTTAGGAAATCAAGTATATGTCTTCATAACAGATATCAAAACATCCATAACATCCACATCAAAATCCATCCAAACTGTTTYGACACGACAGTACATTAATTATAATGGAACCTGGTAGGAAGCTGTTGTCATCATCATCTGTATGACACGATTCATCTTTCCCAAATCCATAATGGCGCATCTATACAATTTGGTATGTAAAAGCTATTTATACTGCAATCATAAAATTATGAAACTGACATTTTTCTTACTTGAGATTTTGGTGCTTGAAGCTGAGTTTCGTAACTCTGAGCCATTTCATAYTTAGTTTTCTGTAAGTTTTCCAATTCTTGCTGAAGTAGTCCCACCTACAGTTAAAATAAGCATTCAAATGTACMTTTCCTTGTACGTTTCAAAATATGCAATTTTTGGAAGAGTAATTTGAAACTTTGAAARAAGACGATTGCTTTAAGGAGAGATATTAAAAATAACTATTAATTCAGTGACTTGAAAATAAAACCACAAACCCATATTGTATCAACATCAAATTTGGGATTTTATAATAAAAAATCTCATTAAATGCTGATGTTATGATTTAATAATAATATTGTGCAAGTCTGTCATGAAAGACCATTCATGAAAGATTTTCAAACCAAACTATGCTGYGCCCCATTGTGAAAATTTTTCTTGAATGGCTCATAAAATTATATGAAAAACCTTCCACTATTTATGTACAAATTATCAGAAGACACTGTAGATTCACTTCAGCTCCCTAAGTGCAGTGTCATTTGAGATATCATTAATTATTATTGAGTTTCACAGAGAATTSAGAAATATGACAGAGTGCACACATGGCACCTGTATTTTCCAGAAGGGGCAGTTGGAAGCTTGGTAGAATATGCAAAAATATTTCACATAAGATCTCTGTACAGGCAAATAAAGAGATGCTTTGAAGACGGGCTACCTGAATTCTTTTCTTGGTTCCTCTGACTGCAGGGACTAAGGACAGGTTTCTAATTGCTCATTAGGGAGAATCACTTCATATTCAAAACTCTCACTGGCAATTTAGCCATTTAGCTCACACAAGGATGCCCTGGTCTAAAAACCTAAATTCAGCTGGCTCGAACTAGAACTGAATGCTGTGCAAGGATTTCTTGATGTTTCTGAATGAATATTCAGCAGATAAGATTGCGAAGTACAGGCAACACCAGGTACACTGGGGCTTTAAGTTTCGTGAGAAAGTCTAAGTAGTAATACAATTAGAATCTTTGCAATAAAAAAATTATCATACAAAGACAGTATATGATGTAAAATGTTAAAAATCAGGAGTATAAACAGGAGTAACAAAGACATAAATTTGTGAACCTTTTTGAACTGCATTCTTCCATTTAAAATTTCTGATGAAATGAGAAGTGCTGGCATTTAGAAAAAGCATCAATTTATCTTTTTACAGCTAACCTGAGAATATTTGATGTAGACTTTAGGGAAATAGAAGAAATATGAGATTTTCAATGACATTTTTACAATCACTTTTCAGAACAGAAGCACACTTTAAAACAAAGCACTAAGGATAATTAGTGACCTTTAAGGGGTGTTTGGTATTTTTACATGATAGAACAAACAGTCCCCTTACAGAGAATTTAAAGCATACTAATAAGAAACTACCAGAATAAATACTTTCTGTATAGAATGTGATATTCTTAAATACCTCTTGACCTTTTTGATCCAGTTTGCTTTGGGCACTTGCTAATTCTTGATCCTGGATATCCATCTTTGCTTCTAAAGCTCTCATCTTTCTTTCCCATTCTACTTGCTTTCTGTTTACCATGATGTCAATCTGATGCACTAATTCCTGAAGTTGTTCAGCTTCACATGGAGAAACTCTAAGAACATAAAGAGATTTATTTCTTCAAATAAAGAATAAAGGAGAAAACAGATTTTTACTTACATTGCTGTAATTCTATTTTGACCAAATGAATCACTTTTCAACAACAGAAAGAAAAAAATGAGAACGTTAAATGAKGCCTTCAAATGTAGGTGGAACCTCACTTCATCCATCTTGAGTTTGCCCTCATGCTCAATTTCTGACTGCACCAAGCTGAGAAAACAGCCTTTTAATGTAGAGATGGGTTTATCACAAATATTTTATTTGGTGCTCAAACTGTGCATATCCCTTGCTTCGATAATTATTACAGGAAAATTGAGTGATTTATAATATAATAATTAAAAGTCAGCATGAATTTTTAAAGTTAAATTCTTTAAAACTTCTTTTACATCCAGAAATCCTTGAAACTCTAACAGTATAAATGTTAAGCTTGGAAAAGCTTTTTAAATGCACACATAAATCTTAATGAGTTTTTAATGTTAAAACTGTTGGCAATGCCATTTTGAAATTTAATATGACTCATAGGATGACAATAACCAAAGTGCAGGTGATGTACATCTCTGAAAACAAAAACTCCCTCCCTCCCAAGTGCCTGAAGCCCATCTCCAAAGCAGCATTAATGATGAGTAAACTCTGATCCCCTCTAGGTAGAATATAAAATAGGATTTTGATAACAGAAGATTAAAGCAATACTGCATCAGGACTACATTTTCCCTGATACCGCTGTAAGGACCTGCGCACTTCCAGCCTCATCTAAGGTCACATGGCAWYGCTTTGGTGAACCACCAGCAATGACTCAGCTAGGTGATTTCAGCCTTCAGAAATRAGTACTTTATTGTGCGTTGGATGGATAATCTAAATATTGTTATGCAAGTAAAAATGCAACTTCTAGCCTAGATCATCAGACTACCCTTTCAGATCCACCATGGTTGAATTTCACCTGCCTTTTTCAGATCTTCCTGCACAAGGCAAATTCTGSATATGTTGCTAAAAATTTTCTCTCAACAGTTCTTGCATGCTTCTTGGGCCTAGAGTCACCATTATATAAAAGGGAGTTGTTGAAAGAAAAATCCCTTCTGAAAGCACTTCTCAGTCTATCTTCACTTTCTCTAATTCCWCACCTGGATCCTCTAAGCACACTTGCAGCTGCAGAAGGAAATCAGTACATGAAACTGTAGATTACTGCTGCTGTTCTACCAAAACTAATCCATACCAAGGCTCTACTGTTGAACACAGACCTGACGTCATCCCCCTAACAGCAGAGTGCTGCTACTTGCTGCAGTAACTATTGCTTTAGTGTTTTGGAAAGAGTGCTAATTAGCCCCCTCAGAATATGGACAATCATACGGTATCACAGTAATGAGAAATTATTTGATCACTGGATGTCGAATGAAGGGGTTTCTTTTGTTTAACAAGCCATCATGTAAACAAACACACTAAGAACACATTTTCTCATAAGCAAAGAAGTATGCRTGGAGTTTTTTACCCATATGGACTCAGCATTCCCACTTCATTGAATGCATACATCAAATGGATGTAATGACATACATCCAAGGAAGTAATGACTTGTACTTCAGCAAGTGGTAGCTTTGAAACAGCTCACGTTATTTCATTTTAAAGTGGTGTAGGCAAGCTCTTAGTCTTCTTTTATTCTGTCTCCATATAAGTGAAAATAGAGATGATTCCTGTTCTACTGCCATTAGAAACTATTTATCTCATGCAAAACGAAATGTTTCCAAATTTAGACAAACAAAAATCTAGATAACAAGTTTTACCACCTCCAGACTATTTTTCTTTTTTATGAATTATTTTTGCACTAGTTAGACCTTTCTAGCTCTATTTATTCATCTTTTGCTTTGGATTCTGCACAGGTCTGCATTTTTCTGATTGTTTCCTAATAGACATAGAAAGAATGTTATTGCCCATACACTCTAGAATAAAGTTGTAATTTAAAACCAGATGTTTTAAGAAATGTTTTGTTCATGTTGTGTGTCTTGACTTCATACCTTCTTCCCTTATTATTTACAAATAGGAAAGTAAGTATGGCCATATTTATGCAAACACAACCMAAACCAATGCAGTTAACAAATATTTCCATCTTGCATAGTATATTCATTAGGTTTTGATATTTAAAAATACCAGCTTCTACAGTCAATATTAATTCATTTTATTATTGCAARCCACCTTGTTCTAAATATAAGAAATATACTAACCAGTTGTGATATAACAGTCCGTTAGAATCCTCTACCCCAAAGTTCCATTATAAGAACTATAACCAATTTATTTAACAGCTTTTGGCATACAGAATCATACACATCTATGGATGGGCAATTTGTGATTTATGAGTCCTTGCAGCTGGAACGTAATTGTTATTATTTTCATCACCATTACTCAGCCATTTCCTAAATTTTAAAGCCCCTGCATTATCCCCAGAATACTGTCAGCATAGACTGAAATTGTTTCCTTTCATTGAATGTGTATCCCAAACTACTCTWACAGGTTCTTTGTATAGTTAATGGAAATGACTAACTAGCAAGATTTCTGGTTTATTATGGAACAAATTCCTCTAGATTCATCTGCACTAGCCTGAAATTTCATATATGTCAATTTAAACAAAGACAAGGCAGAATTTGAACTTTTGAAATAGGTTTCTAACTTGTAGCCAAAAACCAGCAATATCTCTTTGGGATTTTCTCATGGCTACTTTTACAAATCACATCACTAACAAAAAGAATGTCCCTCARAGTAAAAAAAAAMAMCACAAAAACCCAAGGGCCATACTGATCAGAGGAGTATAACATTTTACTGCAGAATTTTTTATCTGACATGAAAAGTGCATGCATCATTCTTCAGTTACAACACAGCACACTTTTAAAACCCATTAAAAACCTTCCTGTGTCAGAATAAGTTATGTCCTGTTTTATTTAAGGATATACTTTTACACTTAGTGTTCTTCATGTCACCTCATATTGTTTCTTGGTAATAAGGATGCAATAAACTGGTTTATCTGAAAAATAGTTAATTAGTTTATTTATAATTTATAATGGATAAATATTCTGTRTAAGTCATTATATGGGAAAGTATTTCTAATACTTGTGTGTTCCTTGGAAACACTTGATGGGATGAGGTCCTACATCAACTTTCATAAAGTGCTCTCTTCTTTGGAAAGCCTTTGTGCTATACTAATATTTTTTTTTAGATTAACATTAAAAGAACTAAACTTGGATTATAYAAAAATAAAAAAGTATGATGTGTTGTTATGTAAAGTGCACTTAAAACTTGGAGAGAACAGTTGTAGCTATTATCTGTGCAAAGTAAGACTAGGGCTTTAGCAATGAATAGTGTTGTTTTCAAGGTTTTTAATGTTTAAAGAGCTGTGATATGTAAGTTTATACTGCTGTAGCCTAGCAACTTCCAGTACTTTAAACAAAAGTTTGAAATAACATTTGTTAATACCTTAATAAAATGCCACATTGCTTTCATTCTGCCCCCTTTTGTTCAGGTATGAATATTAAAAAAAATTAAAYAACAGAAACAGTGAGTAGAGTATTAGCCAAAACAATAAGATGCGTTATCTTAATTATCAGCAACCTCTCCAGTTTGCACAGAAAGGTCATGAAATAGAGAATCAAGTTTGCTTCTAAAATCATTAATATTTTGTTTCACATTTTTAATAAACMTGCATAATTCAATTTCATCACACATTCAACTCCCAAGGCAGTAAGTCATTACCTACTTAGTCACAGCCTGTTCCTTGAGCACTTCTAAGTCCTCCTCCATAACGCTGATTGTCTTTTTAACCTGTTAAAACACCAAAAATCAAGTAATTCAGATTCTGAAATGCATTCATTTACATAGCCAAGCAGTGCACACTGGATAGTTCCATGCTTTCCTTTCATATTATGTAATTTTCTCATTGCAATGAACAAGGACAGATAAGTGCAGCTCTAATTACAGACTGGAATGGGAGAGACAAAAATTTCGGGAGTAAGCTCAGCTCTCTAACAGCAGTTCTGAGATACCAGAGGTGGTGCTGATACTGAGCCTAGTCCTTGTTCTCCATGAGGAAGTTTGTTTTGGATCATTCCCTGTTATGCAATTGCCAATGATTTGTGAAGACACGCTGAAGCACAGGAATATAAATTTGCCGTGGATCCGTGGCTGCATTCATCAAACATTTGYACCTTCACACACCACGATTAACCTCCACCCAGGCTATAATTGCTCTCAAGCACAGTTTTGGACTCCTACTGCCTGTTCACTCCCTTGCTTGGCAGACACAGTCTGAGACACACAGCACTCAAATAGGCAGGARGATCAGAACAAGGCTGTTGCTGTGACCACTCCAGTTCTGAGGGTCCAATAGGACACAAGGATGTGGGGTGCCTCTGCCTGCACGCAAGAATATCATGGGTGATGTGGAGCATCAAGCAGGCTTGATTCTCATGGGGGACAGGCACCGGTACCCACAGATGTGTGGGCAATTGACACACGGCACTGCAGCCATGGCTTCACAGGGAGCGGGCACTTGAGGCGACACTGCCAAAGGGGCACCGGYTCCACAGCGGACCCGCACCTGAGGTGACCCTGCCGCAGGACCAGCACCCTTAATTCCATAGGAGACCAACATCTGAGGTGGCACCGGCACAGGTACGGCCTTGGCTGTGCCGCGCACCTGAGGAGACCGGGCCACGGGCAGCACCCCCGGGYCTCGGCCGCCGCCCTCCCCTCCCCTCCCCTCCCCTTACCTGCCGTGCTCTCCCCTCCGCTCCTGCCGGCCCCGCTGCCGCTGTGACCGCGGTACGAGCCCCGCAGCCCGGCCACCCCCGGGGCCCGTCCCGCCGCAGCTCCCGCCCGTCGCCGCGGTAACGCGGAGGGCGCCGGCCCAGGCGGGAAGGGACGGGGCAGGGCCGGGCACGGCCGGGCAGGGGCAGGGGCAGCTGTGCTGGCATCCATCACTCCTTGTGCCCCTCCTTCCATCTGAAGGACGCTGGAGTGAATTCCACCTCAGGAAAATTTCACCCGGGGTAAAGAACA